ATGAAATAATAAAAAGGCAATTAGTAACCGAAAAAAGGAACCCAATTTTCCCAATGATTTGTTTTGCAATAAAGAGCAGCTCTCCTCCTGAAATATGCCCTTCTTTAGACAGCTGCTATAGTTCATGGATTAGGCAATATAATCATATAATTGATAAATACTTTCCTAGCATCACATTTAAAAAAAAAGATGTGATGCCAGAAAGGCAAAATTACATTTATGAATCAAAATAAAAATGACAAACAAACATACCAATATTCTTTCAATCAGCATATCATAATACTGCTCAGCAAGTTGAGGCCGACAGAGGACAAATCGACCCAGCAATTCTACTGCTGCTTCCCGGACACTAGTGGAGTTGTCCATCAAGCGTCCATGAACTCCTCGCTGCATATCAAGCTAAAGAACAATAAAGGAAATGAAATTTATATTAAGTAGAGATCATATTTGAATTTGAATAGAAACTCAAAAAAGAACAATCATTTATGTTCTTCTTTACCCTTGCTAGAATACTGGGGTCTACAGCAACCACCTCAGACAAACACTTCATGGCTTTTGTTCGAACAGCAATTGCATTTTCACCAAGAACTCGAAGGATCTGCCAAGCAAACATTGATACTTTCATAAATTTTAGAACACATAACATTTAACAAAATATAGCATGAAAACATACAGAAGAAATGAAAACAAATATCATATTTACCTCCCTTTAATTTTTATATTAATAAATAAAAGACCTGCTCTCTTACTGGTCCAAAGCTTTAACTTAAAGGTCACTACACACAGTAAGTGAGGCATGCTACACTTTAAAGCCATTTCCTTTATCCTGGCATTTTCAATTAAACCTGCTTTTCATTGCTGTGCTTCATTTGCAAGTAGCCCCACTAAAACCTTACTATGTATAATGTTAATCAAGGATATTTAGTATCATTTAAGTAATTTGGTTACTGAGTAATCTACTTTTATAACATCAATCATTCTACCTATATGTGTGTATATTCATACAGATATACATCCATATATCTGTAAAACACAAATCAGTATGTAAAAGGCAAAAAGAACAAAGATGTATTAACAAAATACAGAACATAGAAACAAATGCTACTTGCATGGTTTTAAAAAAATATCTGTTCTCAACAATGAATAGACACCATACACTATATCACAAGTATCCAGAATTAGAAAAGTCAATATCATTGTATAAGGAATTCTGGTCCAGTTTACCTGTGTCAAATAAATATCAAAGCTCTGGGCAAACGGCCTCATGGAGGCCAAGTATCGAACAATCAAACAAGCATCATCATAGTCCACAGTATCAGAGTTCATCCTGCAACAAAAAGTTATTAAATTTTTACTTATCTCTTTTCTAAAGTAGGTAAATAGATATCAGAGAGATAACCAAAAAAGTAAAGAAGTCTTCTCTCTGGATCTTACTTTAATGTGCTAAACTGAGAGGGCGTGGTTTTGATAATGCTTCTAAGAAACTTTTTCCGGTTTTCAGCTCGATGCATAATTTGACCAGTTGTCTCAACTTCTTTTGAGTGATGTGTACCTTCAGATGATTCTTCATCTTTTTGTGATTTCATTGCCTTTTCTGTTTCTAGAGTTGTGTCACGGAACCACTGGGCTATATAGAATTTACGAGAAAACTGGAAAGAAATTAGATAATACTTGAATTTGATGAAATTAGTAATACAATTTCCAACCCATTAATAAAGTGCTTACCATCAGAATACAAATATTAAGATTTACTTTGAAACAACTCTGTCAGATAAAAACAGACTTTAAGAAAGCTAGAACATTCAGAATACCCTTGTTAGAATACTGGGATACTAAATGATGGAAAACATTACTTAACTTTATCTTAACACTTGTTTTAATGATGTCAAAAGATAATTTGATAAATATAACTGTATTAAACTTAGAATACTATCAACTACTTAATGAAGAATAGTATCATACCAGTCAATAAAATTAGACAGATGATGGGGTCAACTAGGAAAGTTTAGAACAAATGAATGAGGTGCTAAAGGTAGAAGACTCCAGTTATTTTCAAAATCTCA